ACTATTTGTATAAAGCTTTATATTTCAAAAGGTAGAAGACCTGGATGCTTCAAACCTTGTATGCATCTACCTTATATTACAAAGTTTCTGTCTGTCATAAGTTGACTGTCCTTGACCTCATTTTCATGGTTCAGTGACTGCTTGAAAAAAATAATAGTTTATTTTGTCATGTGAATTTCTGACTTATAATGAGTAATAGGATAACTGTACTTGGTATATGGGTTGCTTGCAACGTCTAAATGTTCGTCAGACAGGGTTCACCTAGCTTGACCTCATTTCATGGATCAGTGATCAAGGTTTAAGTTATGTGATTAGGTCAGTTTCTCAGATATTGTCAGCAGTAGATCAACTATATTTTGTATATGGAATGATTGTAAGGGGTACATGTCAGTCTGGCAGGTTTCATCTGATCTTGACCTCATTTTCATGGTTCATTGGTCAATGTTAAATTTCATGTTTTGGTCTGCTTTTCAAGTACTATAAGCAAATTAAAAGGTCAACTATATTTGGTGTATGGAATGACTAAGGGGTACATGTCAGTCTGGCAGGGTTCATCTGACCTTGACCTCATTTTCATGGTTCATTTGTCAATGTTAAGTTTTTGTGTTTTAGTGTGTTTTTCAATTACCATAAGCAAAAGGTCAACTATTTTGGTGTTTGGAATAATTGTAAGGTGTACATGTCTGTCTAGCCCTCCTGGTAGGGGGTTTGGCGTCAGGCTAATCACCTTGCCCTGTAAAAAAACAGCTGATTACAGAAACTAATACAGTCGTTAAACATGCTTGCCCTTCTAGGGTTGGAGCAGAAGTTGTTTTTAATGCAACTGACCGCCATGCGATGCAGAGAATGACGTCTAATAAACCGATACCACTGTTTTCGCCCAAAAAAGTCACTAAAGTTGCGCAATGGAATGTACGCACAATGTATGAATGCGGAAAATGTGCTCAGATAGCAAAGGAGATGAGAAACTATGATATAAACATACTTGGCATAAGTGAAGCAAGATGGAACCAAAGTGGAGTTTTGACACTGGTAACAGGTGAGGAGATTCTATACTCGGGAAACCCAAATGAAAATGATTATCACACCAAAGGAGTAGCAGTAATGCTTTCCAACACATCAAAGAAGAGCCTGATGGAATGGGAACCAGTAAGTGAGAGAATAATGTGGGTGAGACTAAAAGCTAAGTGCCAAAACGTAACTATCATACAGTGTTATGCACCAACCAATGATGCCGAAGAGGATGTAAAGGAATGTTTTTATGAACAACTACAACATGTTTGGGACAACATCCCCAAAAGAGACATCAAAATAGTCATGGGTGATATGAATGCTAAGATTGGGAAAGAGAACAAGGACAGAGAGAAAACATTAGGAAAACATGGTCTAGGAGAAATAAATGAGAATGGAGAAAAGCTAGTTGAATTCTGTGAGATGAATGAGCTTGTAATAGGAGGCAGTTTATTTCCACACAAGAATATACACAAGGAGACATGGGAATCACAAGATGGGAGAACAAAAAATCAGATTGACCACATCATGATAAGTCAGAGATGGAGAAGCTCACTTCAAGACGTTAGAGTTATGAGAGGAGCAGATATCAGCTCAGACCACCATCTTATCATAGCCAAAGTAAAAATAAAACTTGCAAAAGGGACCAAAGTCGAACAAAAACGTATAAAGTATAATGTGGAGAAGCTCAAAGACCTACATCTCAAAGATCAATTCCAAATCGAGCTCAGAAACAGATTTGAAGTACTTAAAGATGGGCCAGACCTGGACATAAATAATGAATGGGAAGTGGGAAGAGACATCATCAAGGAAGTGTGTGAAGATGTACTTGGAAGACAAACTAACAAAAAGAAAGATTGGATGTCACATGGAACATGGGATAAAGTAGAAGAGAGAAGGAAAATGAAGGAAAAGGTAAACAATGCAAGAACAAGGGCTCAGAAACAAGAAGCACAAAACAAACACCAGTTCCTCAACAAAGAAGTGAAAAAATGTTGTAGGAAAGACAAGAGAGAATATGTAAATGACCTTGCAACTGAAGCAGAATTTGCTGCATATAAGGGTGAAATCAAAACCTTGTACAATATCACCAAAACTCTTAGTAGACGTAAAACAGCTAAATCTAAACCAGTAAAGGATAAAGATGGAAAAGTCCTAACCAATCTTAACGAACAGATGGAAAGATGGAATGAATACTTTATCAATGTTCTAAATAGACCAGAACCAGACCAACCAGTAAGAGTAGAGCCAGCTGGGGAAGATTTGAACATAAAAATAGATAATATCAAGAAATATGAAGTGAAAAAGGCCATCAATTCACTTAAAAATGGAAAATCCGCAGGCATAGATGGAATACCACCTGCAGCTTTCAAATCTGGAGGCAATGAAATAATAGAATATATGTACAAACTCCTGAATAAAATCTGGCAGGAAGAAAAGATACCAACGGAATGGTTAAAGGGTTTGTTAGTGAAGCTGCCAAAGAAAGGAGATTTAGGGCTATGTGAGAATTGGAGAGGCATAACACTTCTATCAGTAGCTAGTAAAATACTGTGCAAAATTATACTCAGCCGAATTAAAGATGCAATTGATCAGGTACTAAGAGATGAACAAGCAGGTTTCAGATCAAACAGAAGCTGCACTGACCAAATAGCAACACTACGTACCATCATTGAACAATCAGTAGAATGGCAATCATCCCTCTACATCAACTTTGTCGATTTTGAAAGGGCATTCGATAGTGTCAACAGAGAAGGGATGTGGCAACTGCTAAGGCATTATGGTATACTAACAAAAATTGTGAACATGATCAAGGCATTGTACGAGGATTTCACAGTACAGGTGATACATGAATCATCATTCACCAACCCTTTACATGTAAATACTGGTGTGAAACAAGGCTGCCTACTCTCCCCTACACTATTCTTGATAGCTATAGACTGGGTAACTAAGCAAGCACTAGATACTACACCAAGAGGTATACAGTGGAACTTCGCACAAAGGCTAGAAGACCTAGATTTTGCAGATGACCTGGCTCTGTTATCTCACCTTTTGAAAGACATGAGAGACAAAACCACCAAACTCCATGAAACAGGAAAAAAACTAGGCCTAAAAATCAACATTAAGAAGACAAAAATTATGAAAGTAAAGACTAGAAAAGGAGGAACAGTTTCAATTGAAGGAGAAGATCTTGAAGAAGTAGACCAATTTACTTATTTAGGAAGCATCATGGATAGAACGGGTGGGACAGATGCAGACATTAGGACAAGAATAAGTAAAGCTCGACAAGCCTTTGCTATGCTGAAGCCAGTTTGGAAATCAACAGCATTTACAGAAAACACCAAAATTCGAATTTTCAACACCAATGTAAAATCAGTCCTTTTTTATGGAGCAGAAACCTGGAGACTTACAGCAGGGGTACAACATCAAATCCAGGTTTTTATCAACAAATGCCTGCGCCAAATTTGTAAATTTTGGTGGCCAGAAACAATAAGTAACAAATGCTTATGGGAAAGGACCAACCAGGAACCCGCAATTAAACAGCTAAAGAGAAGAACATGGCAATGGATTGGGCACACTTTGAGGAAACCTGTAGGTGCCATCACTAGACAAGCATTAGAATGGAACCCCCAAGAACATCGGAGACCGGGGAGACCATTTCACAGCTGGAGAAGATCAAGGCGCAAGGAGCTGGAGGAGATTGGATATACCTGGAACGAAGCAAAAAGAATAGCCCAAAATAGAGTAAGGTGGAAAGCGACTGTGGCAGCCCTATGTTCCACAAGGAATGAAGAGGATTAAGTCAAGTACATGTCTGTCTGATAAGCAGGCCTGGGGCCATTACATTGCAATGTAATGCATTCCATTACAATTACAATTACAATTACATTTTTTCTCACATGTAATGCATTATATTACAATTACTTTGCCTGTGTAATGCATTACATTACACATTACTTTTTCAATATAAAAACTAAAAACATTTCAAAGACAGATTTTTATAAGAAATTGATAAATATTACCGGGGTATATGTACATATATATACAGTGTTAGAGACATAGACTTCAAATACTGGTTAATTAAATAAATTATCATATAATTTTGTTTCTGACATTGATCACTTAATCATTAAGACATCATAAAGGGATTTCAAAGGGATATAATAATTTGTCATTAAAGGATTATCTTGTTAAAAGCCTAAAGGCTCTGTGAGGACAAACATAAGTTGAGAAGATTTGATTGCAATAAAAACATTTTGATATTAATTAGGTGAAATAACAACCACAGACAGGACCCAAACAACAGTTTGGTGTAAAAATGCTGATTGACATATTCAATCTTTCATTGAAATACATGTAAGGTGTGTATAGAATTATGAAAATTTTATCAGTGTCAGGTGGTAAATCAAATTGGTCTAATGTATTATTTTCCATGTTGTCCTTGTAAAATCTCAAACTATCTGTAATGATTTAATACAGTAATTAAATGTGACAATAGTTTTATTCAATACTTTCTTTTGTTTTTGTTAATATTTTATTACTATTTTACTATATTCTTCAATTTCATGTATTTTACCAATTTGTAATGAAAAGTAATGTACAGTAATGGAGGCATTACACTGATTTCTAACTAAAGTAATCATTACATTACATGTAATTGTAATGCAGAAAATGTGCATTACAAATTACTTTGCATTACATCAAAAAAATGTAATATTACAATGCATTACAATTACAAATTACCATTACCCCAGGCCTGCTGATAGGATTTATCTGACTTTGACCTCATTGTCATGGATCTTTAAAAATTTTAAGTTTATGCGATACTTGTAGTAAAACCTTTCTCTTTAAGACTTTCAACATAAAGCAATGGTCAGTAAAGCAGGCAAGACATTTCAGCGTGTGCACTCTTGTTTAATATTGACATTCTTTTTATGTATATAGATGCAAAAAATTGTTTTTACCTTAAATCTACTTTTCTATTTTAGCAATGATAAATACTTGTATCGTCTAGAAGAATCACTGAGAGGATTCCTGTTAAAACTCAGTGTAACAGAGTCTCTGTTAAAACCTTTGCCTGAAGGTATATATAGATATTTATATTTTTATAAATCTCAAATAATCAGCTGTACCTTTATGATACTCATATTATGTGTTTATAGCTATGAGGGCCTTAAAGATTTTAGGTGTTAAGCATTAAGAGACTTTTTTGGTGCCTAAAATGTGGTAAAAATTTCACTGATTTTTGTCGAGCCTTTGACTTCTGTCGCAGAAAGCTCGAAATAAGGATAGTGATCTGACAGCAGCATTAACTAACTACTTAAAACCTTAATATTTCAGAAGGTAGAACACCTGCATCCTTCATACTTTGTATATAGATGACTTATGTTATGAATTTCCGTCTGTCATATGTCCTTTGTCTTGACCTCATTTTCATGATTCAGTGACTTCTTGAAAAAAAGGTTAAGATTTTTTGTAATGTCAATTTTTCTCTTATTATGAGTAATAGGATAACTATATTTAGTATGTGCGTACCTTGCAAGGTCCTCATGCCTGTCAGACAGTTTTCATCTGACCTGGACCTCATTCATGGATCAGTGAACAAGGTTAAGTTTTCATGGTCAAGTCCCTATATCAGATACTATAAGCAATAGGTCTACTATATTTGGTGTATGGAATGATTGTAAGGTGTACATGTCCAACTGGCAGGTGTCATCTGACCTTTACCTCAATTTCATAGTTCAGTGGTTAAAGTTAAGTTTTTGTGTTTTGGTCGGTTTTTCTAATTCTATTTGCAATAGGTCAAGTATGTTTGATGTATGGAATGATTGTAGAGTGTATATGTCTGTCTGGCAGGTATCATCTGACCTTGACCTCATTTTCATGGTTCATTGGTCAATGTTAAGTTAATGCCTTTGTACTATAACTCAAATTCACTTTTATCAATTTTTATATCACTTTAATACAACATTAGAATTGACGGAAGAATGCTCCCTTTCAATTTTTTTAATTTTTGTTCTTTGTTGTTCTAGAGTTATGGAACTTTGATCCTTAAATTTAAGACAATTTTTCACAAATTGTGCACTAACTCCAGTAATCATGGAATGATTTCCTCCACACTTTACATTATTGTGGGGATTGATGAAAGGAAGCTCTTTTTTTATTTTTTTATTTTTTTTGCTCCAGAGATATGGGACTTTATAATTGTCAAATTTAAGTAAATTCTTCACATATTGTACTATAACTTGAGTTTGCTTGGATTAATTTAGTGGAAACAATACATAATTGTTGGAATTGGTGAACTTGACAAACTGTTCGATTTAAAAAGAGGGTATCCTCAGGCATGTTTCTCTACAGGGCCATTTTGTTTGCTTATGATTAAATGTATTCGAAATATCTATTTTTAACCGGATTTTTGAAGGAAAAATTGGTTTTTGATTTGGGGATGTACGGCAGGCGGGCGGCTGCCAAACAGTGTCAGTTCATTAACATGAAAATGCTTGAGGTCATCAAAAATCGAATTCTTGGGGTTCCTTGATATACTGATTCTAACAATGTACTTAGATTTTGGATATTTGACCATAATAGGTAAATGTCCAATTTCAAATTTTTCAGTTCTTTGACCACATTCGTTTTGTGTCACAAACCTATGCTGTGTCAAATATTCAATCACAATCCAAATTCAGAGCTGTTTTAAGCTTAAATGTAGTGTCCATAATTGCTCAACTGTTCAGGGTTCGACCTATGTAGAAAATCCGGTTTGCTGTCACTCTGACAGCCTCTTGTATTCTTTGCAACAATTTCAATATGCACAATAAGGGCATATTATGGGCCCTAAGCACAGCAGTATATTTTATTTTCTCTCTTATTTGTTTAAGACCTGTGAAAGAATAATAACCAAGATTGTATTCTTTTAAAGGCAAAATAACATTTTAGAGTTACATACTTTTTATACGACCGCAAAAAATTTTTTGTGGTCGTATATTGGTATGACGTTGGCGTCGTCGTCGTCCGAAGACACATTAGTTTTCGCACTCTAACTTTAGTTTAAGTGAATGGATCTCAATGAAATTTTACCATAAGGTTCAATACCACAAAAGGAAAATTGGGATTGATTTTGGGGGTTATGGTACCAACAGTTAAGGAATTAGGGGCCAAAAAGGGACCAAAAATATGCATTTTTGTAACTTCCAGACATAACTTGTGTGTAAGTGTATGGATCTCTCTGACATTGTACCACAAGTTTCCATATCACAAAGGGAATGCTGGGATTGATTTTGGGGGTAATTGCCTCCAAATTTTAGGAATTAGGGGCCAAAAAGGGGCAAAAAATAAGCATTTTTCTAGTTTCCAGATAATAACTTTTTTTCAAGTGTATGGTTCTCTCTGAAATTGTACTGCAAGGTACCATACCACAAAGGGAAGGCTGGGATTGATTTTGGGGATAATTCCCTCAAAATTTTAGTAATTAGGGGCCATAAAAGGGCAAAAAAACAAGCATTTTTCTAGTTTCATGACAATAACTTGTGTGTAAGTGTATGGATCTTTATGAAATTGTACTACAAGGTTCCATATCAAACAGGGAAAGCTGGAATTGAGTTTCAGGGTAATTGCCCAAAAAGTCTAGGAATAAAGGGCCAAAAAGGGGCCAAAAATAAGCATTTTTCTAGTTTCCAGACAATAACTTTTTTCAAGTGTATGGTTCTCTCTGAAATTGTACTGCAAGGTACCATACCACAAAGGGAAGGCTGGGATTGATTTTGGGGGTAATTCCCTCAAAATTTTAGTAATTAGGGGCCATAAAAGGGCAAAAAAACAAGCATTTTTCTAGTTTCAGGACAATAACTTGTGTGTAAGTGTATGGATCTTTATGAAATTGTACTGCAAAGTTCCATGCCCAAAGGGAAAGCTGGGTTTGAGTTTGGGGGTAATTGCCCTAAACGTTAAGAATTTGGGGCCAAAAAGGGCCAAATACAAGCATTTTTCTAGTTTCCAGACAATAACTTGTTTGTTCAAGTGTATGGATCTCTCTGAATTTGTACTGCAAGGTACCATACCACAAAGGGAAGGCTGGGATTGAGTTTGGGGGTAATTCCCTCAAAATTTTAGTATTTAGGGGCCATAAAAGGGCAAAAAAACAAGCATTTTTCTAGTTTCAGGACAATAACTTGTGTGTAAGTGTATGGATCTTTATGAAATTGTACTGCAAAGTTCCATGCCCAAAGGGAAAGCTGGGTTTGAGTTTGGGGGTAATTGCCCTAAACGTTAAGAATTTGGGGCCAAAAAGGGGCCAAATACAAGCATTTTTCTAGTTTCCAGACAATAACTTGTGTTCAAGTGTATGGATCTCTCTGAATTTGTACTGCAAGGTACCATACCACAAAGGGAAGGCTGGGATTAATTTGGGGGGTAATTCCCTCAAAATTTTAGTAATTAGGGGCCATAAAAGGGCAAAAAAACAAGCATTTTCTAGTTTCAGGACAATAACTTGTGTGTAAGTGTATGGATCTTTATGAAATTGTACTGCAAGGTTCCATATCACAAAGGGAAAGCTGGGTTTGAGTTTGGGGGTAATTGCCCTAAATGTTAAGGAATTTGGGGCCAAAAAGGGGCCAAAAAACAAGCATTTTTCTAGTTTCCAGACAATAACTTGTGTTCAAGTGTATGGATCTCTCTGAAATTGTGCTGCAAGGTACCATACCACAAAGGGAAGGCTGGGATTGAGTTTGGGGGTGATGAATCATAAGGGGGTTCAAAAAATTTGATGGGGAATTTTTTTCCTTTTTTTTCTTTAAAATTTTCCATTTTAAATTGGTTATTTCTGATTTATATATAAAGGCAAATAATAATGATATGGTTGAATAAGTAAATTCAATTTTTTTAAGTTCTTAGACCACTTTCATTCTGTGTCAGAAACCTATGCTGTGTCAAATATTTAATTACAATCCAAATTCAGTGCTGTATCAAGCTTGAATGTTGTGTCCATACTTGCCCCAACTGTTCAGGGTTTGACCTCTGCGGTCGTATCAAGCTGCGCCCCAGCGGAGCATTTTATTAATACTCCTATTAGACAGGATGTATTATGGTATACCTGTCCGTTCTTTTGTCTGTCCATCCACACTACAGTGGCGAAGGAGGAAACTGAACAATGTTGGGGCTGGGACAATCTTGAAATAATTCTTTTTTCCCGTTAAACAGTAGATTTGTATCTATCAATGAAAGATTCAAGAGTTTATGTTCCTAACTGTTTTGAACTTTAAAAGTGTGATTTATTTCATTAAAAAATTTTCAAGATGGTGTTTCTTTATGTACTCTTTCAAATATAGCCCCAAAAATTATATGTCACCAACCTTCCAAAAATGTTATGAGAAGTTTTCGTGATTTTTTTCATTTGGTTTTTAGAAAAGAGTTGTCTTTCTTCAGAACACAGAATCTGACGTCATAGTACAACTTTCCCCGCAATTTTCACAAATATTGAAAATTGAAAAAAATTTGAATTGTTATGTTTGACCTTGATGGATTTATATTCAGAGTTCAATCACTAAATTTAGCTATAAATTGTAACTGTTCATCTTCTTTACAAAGAAAAGGCCTTTCACAGAATTATAGTTAGTGGTATGGAAATTTCACATGTTAAATGAAGGGTTTCTAGGTTAAGCCAATAATAAACCAAATAATATATTAGTAAACAGCTGCGCCATGTGCACATGATAAGCCCTTATTTTCCATTTTGACATTGTTGAAATTGTTGCAGAATAAAATGGAATATTATGAAGGCAATTAATCATAAGCAAATAAAATGGCTCTGTAGAAAATGCTGCTTGATGATATCCTAATGCATATCAAATTTCCTCAAATGTGACTGCTAAAAAGTCTCATAACTTAAGAATATCGACCCAGAAAATTTTCAAAATCAAAAGGGAGAATACATTCACTAATACCAAAAACAGTGTAAACTTTGTAGTATTTTTGTTCGTCACTTTCAGATTTAAATGTTAGTTTTGAAAAGGTCAGACTTAAGGTGAACCAATATGGTAAGTCAATGATATTTGATTTGCAGTTGTATAAGCATTGGCACATCTCATTTCCTTAGCAATTATTTGGTCCTGCCCCCTCAGTCATGGTCTATTGACTTTGAAACTTTTGCATAGGTTATATGTTAAAGTTTATGATTAGGTCAATTTAAGGGAAACCACTAATAATGTGATATTTGGTATGCAGTTGTGTAAGCGTTTGCACATCTCATTTCTATGGAGGTTATTTGGTCCTGTACCTTCAGTCATTGTTCATTGACTTGAATATTTTGCATTATTTACATGTTTAAGTATTGCTATTTTAAGTTCATCATTTGCATTAAAGAATTATAATTTATGTATTGTGTGATAAACACAAAACTAAGGTTTCTATAGTTACAAAATGAAGTTGGTGACCACCAATTTTTTTCATCATATTTTTGTCCCCCATGCAAGGCATTGCAGGGGACATAAAAATACCGGACGTCCATCCGTCCGGTCTTCTTAGCACTCTCACATGTACAATTCTTGACAGATTTTTATGAAACTTATATCATAGGTTTATATCAGCAATTTCTTGGACGAGTTTGAAAATCAGTGCCGATTAATTATTTTTAAAGATTTATGCCCCTTGGAAACATTAATTATATGGAAAATTGCATCGTTAGCGCATTCATGTGTAAAATTCTTGCCAGAATTTTATGAAACTTATATTATAGGTTTATATCAGCAATGTCTTTGACAAGTTTGAAAATCAGAGTGCAGATCAATTATTTTTAAAAGAGTAATGCCCCTTGGAAATGTTAATTATATGGAAAATTGCCTTGTGAGCGTTCTGATGTATACAATTCTTGCCAGAATTTTATGAAACTTATATCATAGGTTTATATCAGCAATGTCTTTTACACTATAGAAAACAATTGCTGATAAAATATTTTTAACAAGTTGTGCCCTTGGAAAAATTAATTATAACAGAAATCACATTGCATTTGCTCTAAAGCTTTCATTTCTCTAAGATATTTATAAAAAGTTTTAAAGAACAAAACAAAAAGTTTTTTTTTTTTTGGTTATTACCCTTGGATAGATAAAATATGTGCAACACGGGGGACATTGGAACTCTGTCCTTTTATTAGTTAACTAGTTATATAGTTTTTAAAATTTTAAAATTAAGATTTCCATAATCATCAATAACCCTTCCACATCAAGCCCTTTTAACTTTAAAATCAAACACAACAGATCATTGAAGTTTGCTTACATTGTAAACCAGAAGGGATACCTTTTAAACTCCAGAAACTGCAAAACTATTAATTTTGTTTTAAAAAATAATTAAACACGTTTAAGATTTTTCTGATCATTATTTTATTGTCCCCTGCACTTGTAGGCGCTCTAAAACATACAATTCTCACCAGATTTTATATAAATTTGTTTCATAGGTTTACTTCAGGAATGTTTCAGTCTAGTTTGAAAATCAGTGCCAAACAACTTTTTAAAAGAGTAATTCCACTTTAAAATATAAATTGTATGTAAACATTTTCACATTATGAAATTTCATCGAAGTTTTATATCAGCAATTACTGGAACAAGTTAAAAAATCAGCGCTGATCAATTATTTGTACAGCTGTAAAATCCCTTGAAATGTAATTTATATTGACCATAGCAATGTAAGCACTCTTACACCTTCATTTCTTGTTATAAAATTTATATCAAAGGTCTTGGAACAGTGCCGACCAATGATTTAAATTGTTTATGAAAAAGTTTAATAGAACTTCCAAAAAAATTACATTGGAATGCTGTTCTTTTATTATTTTAAAATGTAAGAATAAAAAACTGTAACTGTCTTTTAGATTATGATAATTATTTTCAATTGTCCTTAGAGGGTCATAATGACAATTGACCTGCATATTGTTCAAAAATGAAATGAAGTTGAAGCCATAAATATTTGAACCTGGTGAAAATTGAAAGGTGCTTGCAAACCAAATATAAAAATAAGAAGATGTGGTATGATTGCCAATGAGACAACTCTCCACCAGAGACCAAATGATGAAAAAGTTAACACCTATAGGTCACTGTAGGGCCTCCAACAATGAGCAAAACCTTTACCACATAGTAAGCTATAAAAGGCCCCAAAATGACAAATGTAAAACAATTTTAATGAAAAAAACTGATGGCCTGGTTTGTGATCAAAACAATGAACGAAATTACAAATATGATTAACAGCAACAAATGACTACCACTGAATTTCGGGCTCGTTACTTGAGACAAACACATACAGAATGTCATAAACCATAAAATACAGGTCAAGTTTGATTTTAATGGCTTTGAAATGTACTGCTAAATAGTTATGCACACTACTGTTACAGTCAAGCACCAAAATTTTTACAGGGGGGAAAAAGTGGCACCAGAAATATAGCTAGCAACTGTATTTTGATGCCAAATGAAATTAGAAATCATATTTTACAATATTAGTGCGACCTTGGTGAAGCCCAGGCCCTGGTTGATTTGAATATTGTAAAAACAAATTTGGCAGATTTGTCCAGCAAAAACAACCGTTCATGAAACTGGTTTTGACACATAGAAGAAAATCATATACAATCAAAACCATTTGAATATAAATTACTAGCACTGAGGGATAGCACTTCAAAAATCTTGTGTTCTCAACAGAAAGAGGAAAGAAAAAGGTAATTAACATTTATGTTATGGGGATATTGATGCTCATGATATACACAGTGATGACAGTTTTTTTATCAATAGGGAAAAAACACAAAATTGTGTTTTTAGAATGTTTCATTGACTTTATTAAGTTTCATTGTTTATTTTCAGACTGTACGTGGACTGTACAAGTGTATACTAAAGAGTCAGCTGCTATAGCCATTGAACAAAAACAACATCTTAAGGTTTGTTAAAAGAACTCAAATACACAATGGTTGTCATAATTATTTAAGAAAAATTATAGGCACTTTTATTATGTATCAATATTTAACAATATTAAATTGTGTTATTGTTAATGTAAATATGTATATTTAGTAACAAGTTTCTGCACAATTCACAATAAAAAATCCCCATTCCTGTTGGACAGACCATTTAATGATTAGGGGAGTAACTCTTGAATAGTAACTGACATCTTCCATTCAAAAGTGCACCAGTGTCTGTCAAATATCTAAATAGGCTGGAATTAATGTACAATTCAAATACCTTCCAGGCATGTTTGGGGATTTGTTTGTGAAAAATATAACAATAAAAAATAGATTTTAAAAGGATATGAGTTACTATTTGCCATTTAAATAAAATTATTTTGCAATTGTCACAAATTTAACGGATTTTGACTACCATAATTTATGGGGTCATATTTGAAGCCTACATCTGTCTGTAACCTATTGGGTTTATGGCTATTCGAGTTTATAGTATATCTCTTCCCATATCAACAAATCAATTACGGTGCTTTTTATTAACTGGATTATCGTAAATTTTTGTTTTTTAAAATCGATTATTTCAAAACAACACTTCTGTCAGCAATTTTGACGTTAGCAATCTTTCAGAAAAACATGTAAAAAGTTGATTATTTATAAATAACTCTTTCTGCTGATTCATGTTATAAAAATAAACAACCACAAAGAGTAATAAAGCATCAATTGAAACACATATTTTTTGTTGGCAGTATAATCATTTATGTAAATAATTTTATGATCGTCTTTTCTGTCAAAGTTCATGAGTGAAGTTAGCAATACTCAACTTTGCCTTTCGATGTCTTTCATTGCTTACATAAAATTTTTGCTGCTTGGAGCGCTTCTAGTATAAGTCACACAATGAAAAACATGGACGGTCATTGACCTCCACGACATGTGAACAGCGAGCTTTTTATTTTTCATCCAGATGTCAAAATTTTTCGATATTAGCAACTAATGACAATTGAAACAAGTTATTTAAAAAAATTAATTGTAACAGTTCTAGTAAGCTATTATTTTACACAAATCATTCTGTACCTATTTTTAAGAAACAAACACCAGTAGACTCACAAAAATCGACTTGAAAGCATGCACATACAGACAATATGTTATATTTTTTGTGATCGTTATATTTTGACAGACATTTTCAATCATTTGATTACTTTAAGATTGTTTGAAGTCCATCCAAATTTGTTAAAAAATCTCTATGTATGATGCCTTCTTATCTATTACTTCACTATATCATCTGTAGTCAAACTTGTGACAAACGGATAGAAGAACAAATGAATTAGCAGACAAGTGCTTCATAATATACACTCAGTTTTCGAGCTGGAGGTATTAAATTGTTTCTTAATTTCAAATTGTTTCTTGAATCCACAAATTTAAGATTTTTTTATTTGATTTTCAAAATATCATATGGATGTGCCATAATATTATTTAGAAAAAGATGAAGTTTACCACATCTTTTGGCAGGAAACATAAACTTGTTTATCAATCCTAGAAAATAAATATTTATCAGTGAGAAGAAAGGTAAATCATATGGTAGACTTATTGATAAAAGGCTAAATGTTTTGGAATGCAACCAACACAGTCTCATGAAAACTATATATTTAATCAAACTGCTTGTGAGCACTGAAGGGTAAAGATTGCATTCATTTTGCAGTGGAAACTTAAATTAATCTTTGTAATGTATTAAGCCCTGAAAGGCATTAATATGAATTGGAGATATAATCGTAGTTGAACAATTATTGATAAAGGAAGATAACTCCAATTTTAAATATTACTATATAGTGGAGCAGCGAAATCTGAAAAGACACTTTGTAAAGGAGTTTAATGCACCCAAAAAACACACACCTGGAAATGTTTTTAAATGAAAGAATAAATATTCAACTTATTTTTAGCTCACCTGGCCTGACGGGCCAAGTGAGCTTTTCTCATCACTTGGCGTCCGTCGTCCGTTGTCCGTCATCGTCGTCGTCGTCCGTCATCGTTAGCTTTTTACAAAAATCTTCTCCTCTGAAACCACTGGGCCAAATTTAACCAAACTTGGCCACAATCATCATTAGGGTATCTAGTTCAAAAGATGTGTCCGATGACCCTGCCAACTAACGAAGATGGCGGCTATGGCTAAAAATAGAACATAGGGGTAAAATGTAGATTTTGGCTTATATCTTTGAAACCAAAGCATTTAGAGTAAATCTGACGTGGGTAAAACTGATAATCAGGTCAAGATCTATCTGCCCTGAAATTTTCAGACAAATCTGACAACCTGTTGTTGGGTTGCTGCCCCTGAATTGGTAATTTTAAGGAAATTTTGCAGTTTTTGGTTATTATCTTGAATATTATTATAGATAGAGATAAACTGTAAACAGCAATAATGTTCAGCAAAGTAAGATCTACAAATAAGTTTGTCACGAACAAAATTGTCAGTCTACCCCTTAAGGAGATATTGCCCTTTAAAGTCTATTTTTAACAATTTTTTATAAATTTTTGTAATCTTTTACAAACAGCCCGTTGTTGGGTTGCTGCCCCTGAGTTAGTAATTTTACAAAAATTTTGCAGTTTTTTGTTATTATCTTAGATATCATTATAATATCTAATACTATTAATTATGATTTTAATCTTATTTTACATGATTTCCAAAGCATCAGTTAATACAGGTGAGCGACACAGGCTCTCGAGAGCCTCTAGTTTAAACATGCCGTAAGAAAATCGTATGGTCTAATTTCCGTAAAAAATGCCTTTTTTAATGTTGTGCAGTTTATAAAACTTAATCGCTGATTTACTAAAATGATTTTTTTTACTACGAATCACCACATACAGGTTATATTTGAAAATGTGAATGTAGGAATAAAACATTAATAATAAAAAGCGACAATGATTTTGTTTTCATATGTTTACCAATACAATTATGTGAACGTTTTTATTTCAGTAGTTGTGGTTAACACCACATCTACCTGTTTCCATTTATGATAAGACAATAATTGTTTGCTTCATTTGTATTTATTTTGCATATAAATACACTTTGAAACATAGTTGATACAATAAAACTTCGATTTGAAACATTTATAATTCTATTTTGGAGAAATTTATAATTTGAATAAGACACACCAATCCGTCACAGGATGCATTTAAATTTAAATCCAGAATCGTAGTCCGAAACTTTTGTTTTCATTTAATCTTCAACCCGATCAGTTCTATCACTCTGAAGCCAAAATCCTTTTTCCCTTTCACATTGAAATTGTTTATTATAAGTTGCTTTTAGTGGTCTCCACACATTTCTCAAATAGGTTTTTTTATATTTTAAAAAAGTTTATACGAACACATAGTGATGTAAAAACAGAAATGTCATTGATACCTTTAGTCTGAAATGAAAATGTCAAATACTGACTAAAAAAAAAACAGTGAGACTAAATTCAATAAAATTAAGGTTTATCCCCCTTTACTTCCCGTTTAAGTTTTAAATACCGACAAGTCGATTAAAAACTTCATTTTTATGTGAATTTGTATAATCAAAGTTCAAGGCTATCCTTGTATGGAAACAAAATGGAGTCATAAATGAACAAAATTTCTTAACTATTAAAAACATCAATTTTAACGTATAAAAACATTATTCTGTTTTTTAAATTTGATATCTCCTACAAGCTTCATAAATGTTGAATCAAATATTGTTCTCCGACTTATCAATATGTTTAAAATTTTTGATATAAACACCAAATTTACAGTTAAGACAACATTTGGAAATATATAATTGTTAACCTTTGACCATTATGCAAAATTGAAAACACTTCTGAGGCTTACGGCATCCTTAATCTGAAAATTCACGATTTTCTCTTTCCAAAGATATATAATTTAGCCGTGTGTTCTATGGGTTCATTAAATTATTTTTTTTTATGTTTTTACCGCTGATCTATTAACAATGACATCATTGATATCTTTAGAACAGATTCTAGATTCATGCACCATGCACCATGCACAATTTATGTTATTTTCTTGACAAGTATGGTTTTAAAAATACACACCATTTTGTAACTTGAGTATTTGAGTATATATTTCATTGATAAATTTATTGAAATTTTCATAGGCAAGATGTATATTATGTTGTGCTCAATGCAATATGTTTAGTGTATATCAAAAGTAGTGATACAATCAGGAAAATTGATAACTGTCAAGCCAGCCACATAAGGCCTTTTGAATGCATGAATGCAATCTTTACCCCAAAAAGATCATTTTGTGTTTTTTGGGTAATTCATGTACAGCTTTATATACACCGAATGAAAATGTTTTTTCAGCACTTACATGTATGTGTGGAAATAAAGATAAAACACATTTTGAATTACAGGATTTTCCATGGATTCTGGCAGATGAAAGGGAGACAACTATGGAAGATCCTAAAATGATTCCATTAAAGGCTGTTAATTCAGATTACTTCCAGGTATAGAAAAATGTGGAATAGTTTTAATTTTTATTCAAATGCAGAAATTAGGGAAACTGACTTAATTTCAGTGTTAGTGTAAGACATAATAGTGTCCTGTGAAAAAGTGTCCACCTGGACAGTTTTTCATAGAATTTTGGTTTTAATAATGTCCATTGCCATGAAATATTGTCCCTCAAGTGGACAGATTATTACTGCAAAAGTTATGAAATAGTGTTCACCCACAGGACAAGTTTTCATAGTAGTTGCTATTAAATTGTGTCCTTCAAGGGAAGTAATACAAAGGTCATTAAAAAGTTTTTTTATACTTAAATTTTAATAAAATCTGGAGGATTGATTAGAAATTGATTATTATACAAATGTAAACAAACAAGTAATGGATGGAAGTGAATACAGAGACATTTAAGTTCTAAGAAATACCCAGCTAATGCTAATGCCAATAAGAAGGAAGTGTGTAAAGTATAATATCAAATGTGACGAACTTTACTATATTTATTATGAGAAAAAGGCAAAAGAAAATATAGAATTTTGGTATTAAATAATGTCCATTGCAATGAAATCTTGTCCCCTAAGTGGACAGCATTTTACAGCAACAGTTATGAAATACGGTCCACCTACACAGGACAATTTTTCGTAGTAATTGTTAATAAATTGTGTCCTCCAAGGAAAATAATACTGAACAGCATCTGTTACTTGTTTGAATTTAAATCATTATACATGTATATATATTAAAAAATATAAATAAGAAGATAAGGATGGTATGAGTGCCAATGAGACATCTCTCTGTCAAAGTAACAATGAATTAAAGTTCGCAATTATAGGTTAAAATACGTCCAGTAATAACAAGGCAATGGATATCATTTCACACTTTAATAATATCAAAAAAATTTCTGTCGGACATTATGTCCTGTGAAAAAATGTCCACCTGGACAGAATTATAGTATTAAATAATGTCCATGTTCATGGACACTTTTTATACGACTGCAAAAAAATTTTGCAGTCGTATATTGGTATGACGTTGGCGTCATCATTGTTGTCGTCGACGGAAGACACATTGGTTTTTGCACTCTAACTTTAGTTTAAGTGAATGGATCTCTATGAAATTTTACCATAAGGTTTAATACCACAAAAGGAAGGTTGGGATTGATTTTGGGGGTTATTGTACCAACAGTTAAGGAATTAGGGGCCAAAAAGGGGCCAAAAATTAGCATTTTTGTAACTTCCAGACATAACTTGTGTGTTAGTGTATGGATCTCTCTGACATGTACCACAAGGTTCCATATTAGAAAGGGAATGCTGGGATTGATTTTGGGGGTAATTGCTTCAAAATTTTAGGAATTAGGGGCAAAAAAAGGGGCAAAAAACAAGCATTTCTAGTTTCATGACAATAACTTGTGTGTAAGTGTATGGATCTTTCCGAAATTGTACTGCAAGGTACCATACCACAAAGGGAAGGCTGGGATTGATTTTGGGGGTAATTGCCTCAAATTTTAGGAATTAGGAGCCAAAAAGGGGCAAAAAATAAGCATTTTTCTAGTTTCAGGACAATAACTTGTGTGTAAGTGTATGGATCTTTATGAAATTGTACTACAAGGTTCCATATTACAAAGGGAAAGTTGGGTTTGAGTTTGGGGGTAATTGCCTTAAACGTTAAGGAATTTTGGGCCAAAAAGGGGCCTAAAAACAAGCATTTTTCTAGTTTCCAGCCAATAACTTGTGTTCAAGTGTATGGATCTCTCTGAAATTGTACACAAAGGGAAGGCTGGGATTGAGTTTGGGGGTGATGAATCATAAGGGGGTTCAAAAAATTTGGGGGAGGGATTTTTTTTCCCTTTTTTTCCTTTTTTTTTCTTTAAAATTTTCCATTTTAAATTGGTTATTTCTGATTTATATATAAAAGCAAATAATAATGATATGGTTTGAATAGGTAAATTAAAAAATTATAAGTTCTTAGACCACATTCATTCTGTGTCAGAAACCTATGCTGTGTCAAATATTTAATCACAATCCAAATTCAGAGCTGTATCAAGCTTGAATGTTGTGTCCATACTTGCCCCAACTGTTCAGGGTTCGACCTCTGCGGTCGTATCAAGCTGCACCCAGCGGAGCATTTTATTCATACCTGAGGAAATATTTTCATAGGAAATTGTGTCAGGGACACATTTAAATAAGTAAATATTGTTCATGGACAGTATTTACTATGAAATAATGTCCGGTGGACATTATTAAATCCTACATTAGAACTTTTAATTAACTCCATCTGAAAGACCTTTGGTAGAAAAGTTTCGTCAAAGTTTCTTGGCTTCTATGAAAGGCAATGATTTTAAATTTTGTTTGCTGTTGATAATGTTGAGTGGTAGTGTGTAAGCTTTTTTTATAGGACTGCAAATCTTGGGGCCTTATAATGGTATGGCGATGTTGTCGTCTGCTTCGTCTTCTGAAGACATTTGGTTTCCAGACAATAACTTGAGTATAAGTGAAGGATCTCTATAAAATTGTACCACCAGGTTCCATACCACAAAAGGAAGGTTGGGATTGATTTTTGGGCTTATGGCCCAAACCGTTTAGGAATTAGGGGCCAAAAAAACAAGGATTTTCTGGTTTCTGGACAATAACTTGAGTATAAGTCTATGAATCTCTTTGAAATTTTACCACAAGGTTTTATTCCAAAAAAGGAAAGTTTGGTGTGATTTTGGTGGGTTATGGCCCTAACCGTTTAGGAAAAAAGGGCCAAAAACAATACTTTTCTAATACTTTGTATAAATTGCTTATTTCTGGACCGATTTCAATGGGTTGTAATTCAAAGTCTTGCATTCTTTGGGTCCTTTAATATGCTGAATCTAACCGTGTATTTAGAATTTTGATTTTTTTGTAAAGATCATTCTTTCTCAAGCATTTACAATTTATGTATTAAATAATGATTATTAAATGGGACCAGGGGCCTTGGTAACTGAGTGGTCTAAGTAGTCTAACTACTGTATCACTAGCCTGTCAACACTGAGGTGAGTTCAAATCCCGCACCTGGCAGATGTGCTCAACTTCAATCTTAATTGACTAGGATTGTCAGTTTACCCTACCGTAGGTCAGCTGTTCTCTTGAGGCACTCCCTCTACATCCACCAAAAAAAAAAATGCCTGCCATGAAATAGCAAAATAGTGGTGAAAGTGGCATTAAACACCAATCAATCAATCAATCAATCAATCAATAAATAGCACCACAAGCTAGTAAGAAAATTGCATTGTATTTTAATTTGCATTTTTCACTATTAATAGTTTTAAATGTTTTACATGTACGCTTATGTGACACTCTGTCATAAGAGAAAATATTTTCAAGAATGACGGGTATAAATTTGTCTTATTATTGTTACAATCCAAAATTTATATTCAATTTTATATTTTACATTATAATATATTTATATTTTTAGATGGTTTATATTGGTAGTACAGACTAGATATAATGAAGATCTTTCAATTTTTATTTTCAGATGCAGCTATATGCAGAAGAAAGTTCAATAAAATAATGCAGAAGTCATACAGAAGGGTGACAAAAGTACAGCCCATTCACTGTGTATGTGAAAACCAGATACATACTGTATAGCTATGATACTGGGTGTAAAAACTATTACTAATTCAGTGGTTATGGTAATTTGGTGATTATGAATGTGTAAAATTGCAGTGATACACAATTTTCTTCTAGCATTTATATGTATTCCAACTACTAGAAATGTCAGAAACTTGCACCCAGCAAATGTGTTTTCGCTGCACCTTATTATGTAGATCATGGAAATGTAACAGACATTTTATTATGGAGAAATTGTCTGTGTGACAAATTTTTAATTAAAGACTTCATTATCAATGAAAATTGTCTTTTTTTTAATTTTAGCCAGAAGGTGTTGACGCAAGTATTACATGCATATTCAGGATGATGACATTTTGATAAGAATATGAAGTGGCTGATAATAATTTATTACCAAAAAGACATTTAAAAGATGTTTTACAATACTTCTACCATTAAGACTAAGGAAACATCTTCAAAGGGAGATGACTAAGAAAAAAATTACTGGTATGTGTCAAGGAGTGCAACAAAGACAATATAGTAAATTTTTTCCATGTGACTTCTCCACTAGTGAATAAAGGTTTTTGTGATCACAGCTTATAATACCTTAGATAAACTCTCTGGTGGAGTGTTGTCTCATTTGCAATCATTACGCATCTTCTTATTTTTATATATAATCTTGCCCCATGAATTTTATGTAGTTTTATCATGTTGATATCACCAGGTGGCTTTATACATAACATGAATATCATGACTGTGTGCATGACTATGTTTATATCAAACTGTGAGCATAACATGAATATCACATTTCTGCTCGTTTAACGTGTTAACCATGTGGTGTGGAACACATGAATATCACATGATTCTTATGTTGAAATCATGTGGAAAAAAATTGCATGTTTCCCCTAATTGTTTTCAGTAAACCCCATCCTGAGCCCCTTTATAAGAGCTAATAAAAAACATCTGTGAAACATATACATGGTCAAACCAAAAACACAAAAACGGGTAAAGAAAAGATTTTTGGTACATTTACTGATTTCCATTATACTATAAGTTTAGTTTATTGTTATTTTGTATGATCAATGATACAAAAGGGATCTGACACAAGCTGTTCCACTAGTACAAATGTAATGAAATATTCTCCCAACATGTTTGATATATCACTTCCATTACCAGAAAAATGCTTTAACTATACACTGATTTTTGATGTCTTTAAAAATATTATCTGGGGAAACTTGATCCCTTCATCTTTGAACTTACAAGGTCACTGTCCTGTTTGACATTTTTGGGTAAAGATTGCATGAAATGCAATCAAAACCCTATGGTACTGACTTGATATCTTAGTCTTCCAAGGTTTATTACTACTTTTCATAGTTCAAACAAAATAGTGCAGTGAAGTTATCATTCTTTAGATCCTATCCTGTCAATGTCAAGCAATTTATTAATGATATGTTGTACTTAGATATTCAAGTTACAATATAATGTGTATTTGAATTACCATTCTTATGAAGAATTTTCTTTATTAAAATTTACACAAGTAATGCATGGTGTATGAATCTGTGATAAAAATAGATTCAACTGCAAATGTACACTCATGAACAAAGGAAGATAACTCCAACTCAAATTTATAATTTGCATAGCTAAATACAATTCAATGTTTTATTTTAAATTCACAAAATTGCAAAATGAAAGCAATCTTTACCCTTCAGTGCTCATAAGCACTTTGATTCTAGCATTTGCCTGAAAATTGATTTACATTTATCAATCCTACCTACAGAAATATATTGAATTTTATCATTTATCCTATTTATATAAGCCACAATACAAATTGATCCCAAATAAAATATTCACCCCTTTGCTCAACGTACCGACACAGATTTTAATCTCAACAAAGGCATACGTGATGTGTATATATGTCGTCTAAAACCAAATACTTTGACAGAAATAAAGCTTGTCACACCAAGACGACAATATTTTATTGAACATTCACCTACAACAAAAAAAAACCAAGTTGAACTTTTGATATAAAAGAGTGGAGAAGTTGAGAACAATCTTGACACATTATGTGATGACATTTCATGAAAATAAATCAAACAAATGAAAAACAACTGCCTTCATTGTTTACATTAACTTTTAAATTTTAGGACATTTATAGCTTATTAGAATGATTGATTGATTAATTGATTATTTCATAAAATTTTGACTTATAAAGGAACTATATGCAAGTGTATATTGAAAGTTTAGTAGCTGTTCTGCCTCTCTTTCACCTAATTTAAGGCAAATTACATGTCAAAAGTTGAAAGTAGATAATTTGAATGGTGTTTCAAATACTTTCTGTGAGTCATTGGTTTCATGATATGTCTTCAATTCAGAATTCTGCACCATCTAAAAAACATAGACCTGCATGTAGCATGGCAAGATAAAAAATATAGTCATTCCCTTCCACTATTAAAACCCTTGCTAAAAAGCGCAGCCATTTGACTGTACTGGATGTATAAATACCCGACCACAACTGCAAGAAGGGAACTTTTAATCTGATTCATTATGTAGGAAGAGAGCAAGTCTGTAAGTAAAAAAACCCTTGCAACAAACCCCTGAGTGGTATTTAGGTGGCCTGTTGCAAGGCCAAATTTTTGCTCCTATCCAACATACCTGCATTTTCCTCTGGCAGTTCACTTCCACTTTCATCCTGGTAGTCTTACCTTGCAGGACCTGTTGTATCATTTCAAAGTGTGTACTTGTCCTGAATATGTATTATATGAAATATTTTTGCCACTGGATTTATTAATGTGAAAAGGCAAGATATTAAATTTAAGCAGTTGACAAGAATCATGAAAGTAGTATTTTATGCTTGTATAAATGATTGAATAAAATTTGGATCAAGCTGTGCACTTTTAGCAAAATGGATTCCCACACTTTTTGTCTCGCCTACGCAAAAAGTCTGAGAATGCAAGACATAGGTATTACAATCCGGCGGCTTGGACGGCATAAACTATTTGTATAAAGCTTTATATTTCAGAAGGTAGAAGACCTGGCTGCTTCATACCTTGTATACATATACCTTATGTTATGAAGTATCCGTCTGTCATATGTCCATCGTCCTTGATCTCATTTCATGGTTCACTGGCTGCTTGAAAAAAAATTAGTTCTTTTGTCAAGTGAAATACTGACTTGTTATGAGTAATCTTGCAACGTCTACATGTCCGTCAGGTAAGGGTGTATTACCTAATGAATCAGGTAAGGGTCAGCTGACCTCGACGTCTTTTTCATGGATCATTGATCAAGATTAAAGTTACGTGGTCAAGTCCGTATCTCAGATACTATATGCATTAGGTCATGTGCGACAGGCAGGTTTCATCTGATCTTTACCTCAATTTCATGGTTTATTGGAAAATGTATAGTTTTTGTGGTTTGGCTATTTCTCAGATACGATAAGCAATAGGGCCACTATATTTGGTGTATGGAATGATTGTAAGGTGTATATGTCTATCTGGCAGGCTTCATCTGACCTTGAGCTCATTTCATAGTTCATAGGACAATGTTTAGTCTATTTCTCAGATATAATAAGCAATAGGTCAACTATATTGAATTGGATTGATTATGTGCCCTTGAGTATGAAGGCGTAGGAAGTTCTCAAGAAGAACACAATTTCAAAATATGTATATTTATGTTTTTGCTTGTCTAGAGCTATAACGTTCTATTTGTGTGATACATTTGAGTAGTTTGGATATTTTTGGAAATATAAGTGACTGTCTATGACTTTTAGTATTCGTCAACAATAACTTTCTGTGTGAACCTTTCAGTCCTGATAACATTTCACCACCCTTGTTGCAAGCACAGAAGCAAGCCAAAACTGTGAATTCTTCTGGCTTTACAAAAACTTTGAATGATCAACCTAATGAATCAACTGCCATAGTTCCTGGGTTACAAACTACTTCTCTAGATGGAACATCAGGTCTGGTTTTAGAGGCACAAAATGATACTGTTATCCAACTTTCAGATGTAGTATGTGCAACACTTAAAAACTCTAATTTCATTGACCAGATTATTCCCTTGATAAGCCAGAGAGTCATAGAATCAATAATCCTTCCTTCAATGACAACTCCGAGTTGCTCAAGGCGTTTACTATACAATTTAGCCAGATCGGCAAGTTTGAAGATTGGTACAATATCTGTTCCAGACCGTGAGCCGTCGATGTATTCTATCAATTCGGCAAGCACAATTCCATGGATAATAGATTCCTGGCTTTCTTTTTTTGTCTTTGGAGTCTGCCTACTTGCCTTGTTGTAAAGTTTTATCAAACATTTAGCATGATACTTGGCCTCCTGTGATATCAAACCCCCAACACTTTGTTTGGCTAGAAGAACAGTGTCTTGTAGTTCAAGCGCACATTCCCGTACTCGTTTGTCAATCATGAATGTTGATGCATCGTGTAGATCGTCAGATACATCACCACAGAAAAAGCACCCTTCAGTTGTTGCTCTTGTCGATTCACCACAACTGTGTCTGGTTATCTTACTGGTTTGTTTATTCGATGAATCTTCAGCTTCAGACATATGCTTTCTTTTTTCCTGACGAGATATTTTGAGGTTTGAAAATTTGTTTCGACAGGATTTGTGCCATTTTGCCTTGTGGTTCTGGAGTGTTTGTGCAATTCCATGGCCTTCATTTAACTGTTCCAAGTTGAGTGTTGATGGAAACCAATTCAATGCACAGCATCTTTGAATGATAGCATCGAAGTACAGATAACCAGCTCCGATGTCAATTTCTGTTCGTTTGTTATCTGCAGGGCATTGTAAATCATCACATGTTCTCACTTGGCATATCACACATTCTTTCCGGTCTATTTGTTCACTACTAGGTTAATCAGTTCTAGTGTATTCAATATCTACAATTTTGATCTTTTTCGACATAGTGTGGCATTTATCTACATGTAATTTTCTGTTGTAAAAAGTTTTTTAGGCAAATCTGTAAGTACAAGAAATTATGTATTAGATACCTTCATTTCGTCAACATGTGCATGGTTTATTTGACCACATGGTGAATATCAAATACAAATAGCAACAGTCCTATGAGAATGATTTAATAAGCTAGTTTTAGATGTATCAAATCATTAGTTTAAATGCAAATAACAAACAAAAAAAAAAAATAGCAAATAATGATATATTTGAAATTTTTTTTTTCAAAATGGCCACTATTCAAGATGGCTGCCAGTAATTCAATACCTGATGTCCTCAGATTATAGTCCTTAATATAAGTGATAAATATACCAAGTTTTATTACTCTTGGTAAAGTAATTAATTTTC